GCAAGGTTTTTTATATATTCTAATTATATATAATCATATATTTTTACAGTGTTATAAATATGGTGAGTTAATTTTATTTAACTATACTTAGGTTGGATTTAATTGATACTTAAATTGGTATAATTGTATCGATTTATCGGCTGTTGTGGAAGATTGGAACGCTATGATTTATTTTAGCAGTTTAAATAATTGGAGCATGATTTTTAGGTTCTGTAGTGAATACCTAATGACATTGTATACGTATTAAACTATATTGATGCATATTTCGGAGAATTGTTAATAAATTAATTAATGTTATTTTTATCAACTATATGGATTGGAAGACTGTATGCACCGGTATGGGACGATGGCATACTAGGGATAGATTAGTAAAATGCTAAATCCTACCTATTTTGGAATGAGTTGGATTAACTATAAAAGGTTAAGTCCTACTTATATGGATGTCTATGCACCGGCATGGGACGGTGGCATAAGAGGGACGACTCAGTTCAAAACACTAAGACCTACCTATATTGGGGATGGATTAGTTCAAACACTAAGTCCTACCTATATTGAAATAAGATGGATTAACTACAAAAGTTAAGTACTACTTATAACTAGGTGTCAGGTTAATAAACCTTTTGAATGACACACTTGGAACGGACTTTATATATATATGTTATGGTACTATGGTATGAGCTTGAGTCTCAGGACCATGGTTAGAGTGCGTATATCGCCTAGGATGGATAGCTGGACAGTAGTTGTTGTTCCCTGGTAGGTCTAGGTACACATGACCACATTATGTGCGATTTGCATGGTATCTCTACTCAGGCTAAGACAGACCTATTGGACTAGTGAGCGTCCTATAGTGTGTACTTATACATATATAGACTACTCTAGATATTGTTAAGTCTATCTAGGATGTATCTGCGTATCGGATTCCTGTTTGGATCGTAGTAGATCAGGACTTGCATGTGGGCCTGACCCACTCTCTTATTTTTCAGGTGCTCGGCAGTTCCAGAGTTAGAGTTTGGTCATGCAGAGTAGATACGGACTTCCATTCCTTCAACTACGTAGGACTACTATCTTATTTAGCTTTGGATTTGGATTTTAGTTATTTTTCTTTCCAGTTTAGGTTTTATTTTAGGGGTCCATTTGAGGGATTCCCGAGTTGTTGGAAGTTTTAGAGTTTTGAATTTTAATAGTTATGTTTTGAGGATTTTCAATTAGAATTTGTTTTCGCCATTTTTTTTTATTTATTTAGTATTTCAATTTGTATTCTGTGTTCATTAAATATTAATTGTTTGATATTTCCCTCAGGTTTGGGCCTGGGCCTGATCAACCCATATCTCGGATCCGAAGGGTATCACACATCTTTGCCTTAATCATTCTTTTAGGTAGCTTATTGCACAATGCATACCCAGATTTTTACTCTTTATGACGCTTGTCGTTAACAATGCTCTCAAAATATTTGAAGAACTTTGACAAATTATGATTGGACTTCAAGTAATGTTTTAACGAAGCGTTAAAGCTTTCACTAAGCTATGTACTCCTCATGCCAGCAGACCACTCCCATTTTACATATGCCTTCACCCATTTTCTTCTTAATTCAAACATACTACGTAACCAAGTGTTTTCATGAAAATTATACTTGGATAATTTGTCATTCTAAGCTTTGATAAACTCATCTTCTTCCTCGTAATAGTCTATGAATTTACCCAAAACAATCTTTACATTAACTGAACCTCTTAACACACCACTGAGATGTTTCACTGCATTTTGCATAATATGTCATGGACAAAGCAACTGACATATTCCAAGCATCACGAATGATAAAGCTTTTGCCATTGCTGCATCTTGACCAGTAAAACTTATTTTTGGACTTCTTCCCAACATTACCTCTAGAAAAGTTTCAAATAACCAACTGAATGAGTCAGTTGTCTCATCATGCATTAGCGAAGCTCCAAATATTACGGTTTCCTGTGGTGATTAAATCCAATGAATACTACAAAAGGTTGATGTGCTTTATTGACCTTATAGGTTGTATCAAAAGTCATAACATCTCCGAACAAGCCATAATCAATTATCATCTTTACATCCACCCAAAAGATATTTGTTATTTGCTCTTCCTTATCTAACTGCACAACATAAAAGAACGAGAGGTTTTTCATGATTGCTTCTGAAAATATCTAAGTAAGCTACCTGCATCTCCAAATTCCAAATCTCTTTGCCTTCTCGACCTTAAATAATTCTTTTGGTCCAATTTGGTGTACCCAAGACATTCTCTTCCACCAGCTTCTTTTCCCATCAATTCATAAACAGATCTAAGTAGTATTCCTGAATCATTTGCTAACTCCATTTTAATAGCCTGAGTTAAAAAAACTTTCCTTTGCAATGGCATCATATGGGTGCATTATTCCATAATCAACTAATGGTTATGCATTTCCACAAACTTATTTACCCAAAATTTACCATTTTTTTTTTCTAATTTGATACGCATTACAGCAGGACAAGCGGTCTTAGTTTTAGCTCTAGGGTTCTTTATGAGATAGTCACGCTTATCTTTCCTCGAAAACCCTCCTTATTACAAACAAACAATCTCGAAGTAACTTCCTTAGTGGTATGGTCTTTGCTAGCATACTCTTTCCTGATGCTAAAACCAATTTTTCGTCTGTAAACATTATAAAAGTTGTAAGCATTTTCCTTAGAATCAAATTCCATCTCATTCTTGGTCCATTCAATATCAACTAAGGACCTATCAATTCTATGACAATACTGCTCCATTCAAAACCAATTAAGAAATATCCTCTCAGCCAACCAACTAGACAATTAACCAACCAAAGATTTCAACAATTTGTTAATTGAAAAAATAATTAATTCAAAATCATTAGCAAAAATTAAATCAAAGGCATAAAAGGCTAACACCATATAATCAACAGTAATAGAAAAAAAAAAAAAATCAAAACTTTGTGACTGTTATTGTTAGCTAACTAATAACAATTTTTTTTATTAATGAGATATTCACACATGCTGGTGGGTTTGTGTTTGAGGTTGAACAAAAGCACTGATCAAATTGCTTAAAAACTATCATTATCAGTAACACAACAATACACAACAATAATATTAATACTAACAAAAAACAAATGTTCTTTCCAGGTATCAGAATCAGCAAATTATAATTTATATTTAACATCCAATAGTATGGTGCAATCCAGTTTTATCATGAAACCCACTTAAGATTCTAACAAACACTATCATATTTTTAAATTAATTAAAAGATATAAAAAATAGTGATTCAACACCAAATTCAATTAGCATGAACACAAAGTTGTGCTTAGTTTCATGGACAATCCACTGAGTAGATTAATATGAACACAAAATTTATCGACAAAGAAGCATGCATATCGTAATATATAAGTTCCCCTTCTATCCACAAAGAAGCGTGCATATCGTGGAGAGAAAATAGGTGTGGAGAGAAAATAGTAAAACTATTTAGTGCACTTACGATATGCATGCTTCTTTGTGGATAGATTTTGTGCTCATACTAATCTACTCCATGGATTGTCAATGAAACAGGGCACCATTTTGTGTTCATGCTAATTGAATTTGGTGTTGAATCACTACTTTTTGTAGCTTTTAATTTGAAAATATGATAGTGTTTGTTAGAATCTTAAGTGGGTTTCATGGTAAAACTGGATTGCACCATACTATTGGGTGTTAAATATATAAATTATAATTTGCTAATTCTGATACCTGGAAAGAACATTTCTTTTTTGTTAGTATTAACGTTATTGTTGTATATTGTTGTGTTACTGATAATGTCAGTTTTTTAAGCAAGTTGAATGGTGCTTTTGTTCAATCTCAAACACAAACCCACCAGCATGTGTGAATATCTCATTGACAAAAAAAATTGTTATTAGTTAGCTCACAATAATAGTCACAAAGTTTTGATTTTTTTTTTTTTCCTTTTATAGTTGATTATATGGTGTTAGCCTTTTGTGCCTTTGATTTTATTTTTGCTAATGACATTGAATTAATTATTTTTTCAATTAACAGATTGTTGCAATCTCTAGTTGGTTAATTGTCTAGTTAGTTAGCTGAGAGGATATTACGTAATTGGTTTTGAATGGAGCAGTATTGCTGTAGAATTGATGGGTCCTTAGTTGATATTGAATGGAAAACCAAATATAAGATGGAATTTGATTCTGAGGAAAATGCTTACAACTTTTATAATGCTTACAGACGAAAAATTGGTTTTACCATCAGGAAAGAGTATGTTAGCAAAGACCATACCACGGGGGAAGTTACTTCAAGATTGCTTTTTTATAATAAGAAAGGTTTTGGAAGGAAAGATAAGCGTGACTATCTCACAAGGAACCCTAGAGCTGAAACTAGGACTGGTTGTCCTGCTTTGATGCGTATCAAATTAGATAGAAAAAATGGTAAATTTTGGGTAGATAAGTTTGTGAAAACGCATAACCATGAGTTGATTTTAGAAGAATGCACCCATATGATGCCATCACAAAGGAAATTTTCTTTAACTCAAGGCTATTGAAATGAAGTTAGCAAATGATTCAGGAATACCACTTAGATCAGCTTATAAATTGATGGGAAGAGAAGTTGGTGGAAGAGAATGTCTTGGGTACACCAAATTGGACCAAAATAATTATTTCAGGTTTAGAAGGCAAAAAGATTTGGAATTTGGAGATGTAGGTAGCTTACTTAGATATTTTTAGAAGCAATCACCAGAAAACCTCTCGTTCTTTTATGTTGTGCAATTAGATAAGGAAGAGAAAATAACAAATATCTTTTGGGCAGACACAAAGATGATAATTGATTATGGCTTGTTCGGAGATGTTATGACTTTTGATACAACCTATAAGGTCAATAAAGCACATCAACCTTTTGCAGTATTCATTGGATTTAATCACCACAGGGAAATAGTAATATTTGGAGCTTCGCTAATGTATGATGAGACGGCTAACTCATTTATTTGGTTATTTGAAACTTTTCTAGAGAAAATGTCGGGAAGAAGTCCAAAAACAATTTTTACTGATCAGGATGCAGCAATGGAAAAAGCTTTATCATTTGTGATGCCTGGAACATGTCAGTTGCTTTATACATGGCATTTTATGCAAAATGCAGTGAAACATCTCAGTGGTGTGTTAAGAGGTTCAGTTGATCTAAAGACTATGTTAGGTAAATTCATGGACTTTTACGAGGAAGAAGATGAGTTTATTAAAGCTTGGAATGACATGTTATCCAAGTATAATTTTCATGAAAACACTTGGTTACGTAGTATGTTTGAATTAAGAAGAAAATGGGCGAACGCATATGTAAAATGGGAGTGGTCTGTTGGCATGAGGAGTACACAAGTTAGTGAAAGCTTTAACGTTTCGTTAAAATGTTACTTGAAGTCCAATCATAATTTGCCAGAGTTCTTTAAATATTTTGAGAGCATTGTTAAAGACAAACGTCATAAAAAGTTAGAAGCTGAGTATGCATTGTGCAATAAGCTACCTAAAAGAATGATTAAGGCAAAGATGTTAGTGCAAGCAGGAAGTATCTATACTAAAGCAATATTTGAAAAGTTCCATAACCAATTCGAAGAGCCAATTGAGGCTTATATAAATGGTTGCATTGAGGATGGTGGATTTCATATGTACACAGTTCTAGTTGAAGATCAATCTAGAAAGCGTCAAGTAAAGAGGAGCTCCAATGGTCTATTATTATGTAGTTGTGGAAATTTTCAGATGATAGGTGTGTTGTGTAGCCACATGATAAAGGTTCTTAAAGATGACATGCATATTAGTGAAATACCAAGTGTATATACCTTAAAAATGTGGACAAGAGTAGCAAGAGAAGGCTTAATTTAAGACAATCATGGGCATGATATTCAAGAAGATGCAAACTTAGAAGCAACATTACGATATAAGAAATTGTGTTCTCTATTCACTAACATATCATCTATGGCAGCTGAGGTTGATAGATTATATAAGGTGGCTCTAAACTATGCACAAGAATTGAGAAAAGTAGTTCATAACATTAGGAAAGTTGAATTTAGTAGTGATAATCATGAACAAGGTGATTTGCACTCCTTCACTAATTGGGATACAAATAAAGTTGGGCATGGTATGGATATAAAGAATGATATAAATGCCAAAGGTTTAAAGAGAAGGGAATCATCAAAGGGAAGGCGAAGATTCATATCACCAATTGAGAAGGCTCTACAAAAGAAGAGAAAGTCTTCAAATCGATAATCTCAATAATTCATTTATTATTTGGTGTTAAAGTATTTATTTATTATTCAATGAATTGATTTAAAGTTCATTTATTGATTTTTTTTTATTGGTTTAGATTGTGGAGAAACATGCTAGCTCGTTTCTATATAATGACGTCAATGACTCATCATCCAAGATGTATCATAAAATTAATGTGAGTGTTTTAAGTAAATATATTATCACAATTTTTTATTCTTGCTATTAGATAAACTAATATATATTTCTTTAGGACTATGAGGAACCCAACACTTATGCTTGGAGAATTTTCACGATGCTAGTCATTTTATCAATACTCTCGACCTTCTAACAGTCCACTGTTTGCTCAAGTAATATGACAACTATTGTTATGCTGAAACTATGTTTACAATAAGGTTCTAATAAGGAAAGTTGAAAATCCTATACGGGTGAACAACAATGCATTTATTACAGAAAGTAACATGGACAATGATTCTACTATAAGTTCAGTGATGGGTGATGCTAGGGTAATTTTTAAATTCCTAACTTTTGGTATCTTTAATTTTTTGGTACCTTACAATGCATTGTAAAACTGTAATATTGTATTTTTTCTCTTCTTTTCTCTTTTTTGGCAAACCATCAATCTTAATATCGATAGTTTGATGTCTACCCCAATAATATCCAGTAACATCGATCCTTATTTTCATTATAGAAGTCAGTTTTAAGACGAACAAAAGGTAACTAATTTACATTTTAATGTTTTATTTGTTTATATGAATTGTGTCCTCATCAAATATATATTAATATAAAATTTCAATATTTGAATATAGGTTATTCTAAATGCAAAAATGGTATGAACTTTGCTGTTACGGCAAAAATTTATGCCAAAGGAAGTGTTGTGACAGACTGCCCACCATTATTGTCAGAAGTAGTGTTGTTTGGGGGCTACTTGGAATTTCATTTTTTGTTAATGCTTGGAATATCCTTCTTTTGTACTCATAATCTTTGCAACAATGAATGAATGTATTTCCTTGCTATGGAAGTTTATCTTCTATTGTTTAATGACATCCAAATATTTCAAAGTTCCAATACTGATCATGAAATCAATTAAAATGCAAATAATGTTGACAGTTCAATGAATTATGGAATAATGTGCAAAATATTATTGACTTGGATTTTTCTAGTAAATTTTCTCTTTGCGGGGATTTTGTTCAGAGCAAAGATAAACCGTGAGTCTTGTGGTTTAATACCAGGCATTTGAATAAGTCCAATTTTTGGATTGTCATGCCTAAACCGAGTAATTTTTTGGTTTGGAGATAGCTTACTAAAGTTAGAGATTACAAGGACAAGCATAGGGGGCATACCCCATCAGAAACCATTTCCTAAAACAAGCTAGCAAATATAACAATCTAACTAAAAATGGGATACAAAAAAAGCTTGAAATATATCTATGGGGCTACATATAAAGTTTATAATCTCCACACTCTTTGGTTGTCGAGTCTGTCATACACCAGATATGCCATCTCAACAAGTAGTACACCAATGCTCAAGATTTGTTGCCAAGAACAACAATACCATTCTTTTATTCCCACTATGTTTCCAATCCATATTTGTTCAACCTCAATTCTAGTAATGTCTTACAATTGCTTTAAATTTTCCTTGGCAACATCTTCTGTAAAAAAAAAAATCTTCTGTCACTATTTCATTTATATTCCTTATGAGCTCAAGCAAAATAATAACTTATTTAGCCAATCACAACTCAAATCTAATCGGACTAGGATTTGTCAACCTATGGTACACTAAGAGTATGAAAAGTAAAAGATGTTGGGTTTATGGCTCAAAATTGTGTACAGAAAATTAGTTTCCTTTTTCGTTTTGGAAGGCTAAAAATTGTGGAGGAAATTGTATCCCATTATGTTTCTATTTTAGAGTCGGGATTGATATAGTAACTCCTTATAGAGTTATAGGCAAGTTGAGGAGTACTTGTCCAACAAGGAATTAGGTTTGAAGACTCTATAAATAGCGATGGGTATGAGGGGTTTAGAGAGAAAAGATGTAAGGAGTTAAAGGTGAGTGTTGTAAGGAGAGGAGAGAGTATATGTAATTCCCGACTATATACATGTAGCCTCAAAAGAGATGATGAGTGAGTGAGTGGGGTTTTGACATGTGGTTTTATATTCTCTTCCTTGGTTCATAATAGTGAAATCTCTCTCTCCCATGGATGTAACCCTAGAGTTGGATGAACCTTGAAAAATATTGTATTGTGCGTGGATGTGTATGATTGTTATCTCCATATATGCTTGTGTTGATATGATGTAATGATGCTTCTGCTGTGTGTGATGAAGAAAAAATGTAACTCTCAACAACAACCGGCCGTTGAGTGGATTGGAGTGAGTTGATTATTCCCCAACAACTGGTATCAGAGCCGATGGTGGGTCACAGCTTGTGATTGGTTTTGAAGATCAGTGCAGAAGATTGCTGCGAAGTTTGTCAGGGCAGAAAATTATTGTAAGGTGTTATGGAGATTCAATCAAGAGTTGATGATGACACAAGGTATGTTAATAGTGTGAAGCCCATGAGGAACGAGTCTTGGAACAAGCTAGAGGATGCTCGTTTTCAAGATGGGGCAAAGGTGATAGAGTTGAAGCCCACGAGGAACAAGTTTTGGGGATAAGCCAAGAGTGAAGTTAATTCTCAAGATAGGGCAAGGGTGTGAAGAATGAAGGGGTTTGCTTTAAGCCCGATAAAGAGCAAAGGGGAATATAAAGAGTGAATAGGAGAGGTTTGTTGCTTTGAGCCAAAAAAACAATTGATGAAGATCAGTTGAAGTTTGGTGGATTGCCATGCGTGAGCAATTGAACACCAATGGGGTGGATAGAGAAAAATGAAGAATGATGAATTTGAGTTAAGGTGGAGTTATCAAGAGCTTGAGGTGGAGCTATGAAGAGATCCTTGTTCGAGGTGGAGCTATGGAGGAGCATGTGAACACCGATTTTGAGCCAATGTGGAGATTGTTGGGTTTATGGCTCAAAATTGTGTGCAGAAAATTATTTTCCTTTTTCATTTTGGAAAAGTAAAATTTGTGGAAGAAACTGTATCCCATTATGTGTCTATTTTAGAGTTGGGATTGATATGGTAACTCCTTATAGGCAAGTTGAGGAATACTTGTCCAACAATGAATTGGGTTTGAAGACTCTATAAATAGAGATGGGTATGATGGGTTTAAAGAGAAAAAAAAATATATATATAAGGGGTTTAAGAGTGAGTGTTGTGAAGAGATGGGAAAGTATATGTAATTCCTGAGTGTATACATGTAGCCTCAAAAGAGATGATGGATGAGTGAATGAGTGGGATTTTGACATGTGGTTGTATATTTTCTTCTTTGATTCATAATATTGAAATCTCTCTCTTATTGACATAACCCTAGAGTTGGGTGAATCATGTATAATACTGTGTTGTGTATGAATGTGTATGATTGTTATCTCCATATATGCTTGTGTTGATGTGATGTGATGATACTTCCGCTATGTGTGATGAAGGAAGAATTTAACTCTCAACAACAACACCGTTAAATGGGTTAGAAGGAGTTGATTATTCCCCAACAAAAGAAGAATATCCTGTTGAGTAGAGTGAAAGGCGACACAATAAGGGATTTATTGAATGAGTCAATTTAGACGTCTATGAAGCTGTTTGGTTACAAATTGGGGCAACAGACTGTTACACATTCTAGACCAAAACCTCCACAAATCCTAGTTTGATATTTCATTCAAATTCTTCTCTCATTCTGCATGAGCGATAATAAGATCGAATCATATTGTTGAGAGAGAGTGAAGAAAGGATTTTCTTGAAAGATGTTCTTGAAATACCGAAACGTGATATAGGGTATTTGAAACACCCAAATCAATTATTTGGTCTCAAATACCTAAATTAAATTGAAATCTTCGTCGCTTCAAGACATCAGTGAAGGTTGAGATTGAATGGCAAAGAGATCGAGCGTGAAATGTTCTTTGAGTTAGAAAGAATACCCTTGGAATGGCTAACAAGAGAGGAGCTAGCTAGGGTTTCATATAGCAAACGAAAGAGAAGATTAAGGAGAGATGAAAAAAGCGAGGGAAATTGTAGAAAAATGGTTTCGTACAAAGAAAAGATTAAGGAGAGATGAAAAAAGCGAGGGAGAATTTTTTTGGTAAGTGTAAGGGAGAGAAATTTGGGTATTGAATTTGTATAGAAAAGGTCTGCCGTTAATGTCCCGTTTGGTCCCAAAATGGTGTAATATAGGTAAGTGATCTCAAATCACGTGTCTTAATATTGACCTTTAGATTAGGTTTGGAGAGAGCTGGAGAGAGATTCACATGGAGAGGATCCGTATCCCAACAACTAGACCTGTCAATGGATTATATTCTGATCCGAATCCGATCCGATTATCCGGATATGAATTGAGTTGTAAATTCGATAACCCAATAGTGATCTGAATCGGATAACACGATCCCTTAACTAAAATAATATACTATTAAATTTATATTTTATATATTATAATATATCAGCCATTAGATTTATTAACATTTAATGAAAATAACTGATCCCAATGCTACTCTTACAAAGGTTCAATGTGCCCACCCACATACCGGTAGTTCTTTTAATGCTATCACCTACAATGATATACCCAAAGGTTCAGTGTGCCTACCCATATATTACTAGTAATTATCCTAATGTTATCACCGGTTACAACGATACACCCAAATGAAAAGATCTTGGAGCCAAATTTCAGAACTGAAACTACGAAGGGGAAAGAGACAAAAGAGGGTGTGTTTGGATGGGATGATTTGGAGGGATAGGAAGAGAAAAGAATATAAATGATAGGGTTCAAGTGTGTTTGGGTGTGTTAAATGGAGACAAAATAGATGACAAGGAGAAATAATTATCCCTCCCTATCCCTTATTTTTTATCTCTCCAACATTGAGAAGATATGGAGAGAAAGTATAGTGTGATATAGTGATATTTTAATAATATCAAAAATAGCCTCCACAAAAGAAAAGAGAAGACCACTTACAATTATAAAAGGGTAGGATAATAATTTGGTTATTATCCTTTGTTTTCTTTTCACCTGCATATTTTATCCGAACAAGAATGACTATATTTTCTTTCTTATTTATCCAAACATGAATAAAAAGTATTACTATCTTTTCTTTTCTTTCCTCACTAATACTATCATTTCTTTTCTTTTCCCTCCTGTACATCCAAACGCATCCGAGTTCTTCGATCTGACAAAATTTTCGCTAAAACTGAGTAGTCTCTTTCTTTTTCCTTCTCTTCTTCCTTTTCTTGTTCTCCATTATAAGTCCTAATTTTCTTTCACAAGTTCTTCCAAAACTTTTTCTCCTTTCATCTTCTCTATCTTTTTCTCCTCTATTTTTATGATGATTTTTTTTTTATATAAACATAATTACACTGCTTCCTAATCACTATACTCTTATTAAAAAATATTATTATAAAATTAGCACTGTTTAAACAAATATGATTACCTAATAAATTAAAAAATAAATTAATTTTGAAAAGTAATGGCAAACTTCTTCTTTTTTCTGTTTTGTTTTTTTTTTTTTTTTTTTTTTTTTTTTTTTTTTAACACCAACCCAAACATAATTACACTGTTCCCTAATCAAATAAGGTAAATTTGGAATAGGAATTGGAATTAAAATTAAAATGAAATTCATATGTTTGGAACAAATTGGATTTGAAATGGGATTTGGAATAACGATAATATTATACCATCTTTGTCCTTATTTAAATGATAAATGAAATAATTATTTTATTATAAAATATATTCCAAAGTTACATTAAAGGGTTAATTACACTCACACCCCCTGAAGTTTGCCATATTGACAACCATGTATAAGTTGGACATTTTTTGAATAATGACACCCCCTGTCATAAATTGAATCCAAACAGCCCCTTAAAAGATGTGAAAAGTCAAGATTACCCTTCAATATTTTATTAATTTAAATTATAAAATATCAAAAATATTAAATGACATTTTTGCCCTTAATTTACCATCATTACACTCCACCCCCACACACCCCATCTCTAACCTCACCTTCTCCATCAGAAACCTAACTCTACTCTCTCTCTCTCTCTTCTCTCTTTAACAATCAGCTTCTCTTTATTGAGATTTATACATTTTTATATATATATATATATATATATATATATATTCAGAACTCAAACACCGTATCAAACCCCATACACCACCATCACCGCCAAAACAGAAAAAGTAGTGGCAACGGACAACCACCATGGCAGCTCTAACCCTAACAAACCCAACACCAAACCCACGGCCTCTCCCTCAAACCCACCACTAAATCCCTAGCCCTCTCCACCCCTAAATCCCTTACCACCGTTGCTGCCATAACCACAAAAAAATCCGTCGCCTTGAACTGTTTGATCTGGTCGCAGCGTCGAGGTTGTTGCCGAAGACAGAGACGAGACCCATCCCTGTGATTTTTGGATCCTTCTCGAGGTTGGAGCGAAGGTTGTGATGGTGTCGGCGCCGCCTTCGCCATGGCCACTGTCTGAAGTACAATCTTGGAGGCATAGAGATAAAGCCATTACTGAAATTCTTCCAGAGTGCGCAATTGAAATCCTTCCAGTGTGCAATCAAATTGAAATTTCATATCAAATGACACAAATATACAAATGGTAGTTCCAACAATTGATTTGGTGGTATTCACTGAATATGCATATATATATATATATATATATATATATATGCATATATGTATGTATGTATATATATATATATGTATGTATGCATACATACATATATATGTATGTATGTATATATATATATATATGTATGTATACATACATATATATATATATACATACATACATACATATACACACAAATTTGGAGAGAGATCGAGAGTGTAGAGATATCCACATATTACATACTTGTATATATGCGAGAATTTAGTTAATATATGGTGTATCATACATTCCATCACTGCCAAGGTGTACCATACATTCCATTGTAGCAATATAAATGGTGGATGACAAATCTGGCAAATCTAGCTTGCCATATACAATTAATCAGAAAGGAAATAAGCTTTGGTCTCTCTCTGTATTTCTTCTCCTGGGATATTATTCGGTGGAGTTGAAAAGATCCCAAGGATATGCAGCTTATAGTCTAAGCCATTTTACTAAACCCGGGTTCAGTGAGGGCGTGTTTCTCAAAAACCAATATCAAAATCATTTTCGTAAAATTAGGTCAAACAGAGAACATCTAGTCCTAAAACGTACATGCAATTATGCAAAATACATCTACATCAAATGTTACCTAAACTAAAAAAGAAACTGTTGCAGAAAACAGAGTATGAGTACCCCCTGCAAGAATGAAATGATAAAAACAGAAAAACATAAAATAAAGACAAAACCCAAAACCCACAAATGAACAAGAAGAGATTTCTAAACAAAGCCCTTCTTCTAGCGGCTTTAAATTTCATTTTTACCTTCCGAAAATATATATATATATATATATATATATATATATATAAATGGTGGATGACCTTTCGGAAATATATATATATATATATATATATATATATATATATATACCCATTAGTTAAAACCCAACAATTGCCTCTGAAAACCCATCAACTGCCTCTAAATACACATCAATTGCCTCTGATCCACAGTTTATATATATATATATATATAAGACAATTGATGGGTTTTTAGAGGCAATGATGTGTATTTAGAGGCAATTGATGGGTTTTTAGAGGCAATTGCCTCTAAAAACCCATCAATTGCCTCTAAATACACATCAATTGTCTTATATATATATATATATAAACTGTGGATCAGAGGCAATTGATGTGTATTTAGAGGCAATTGATGGGTTTTCAGAGGCAATTGTTGGGTTTTAACTAATGGGTATATATATATATATATATATATATATACCCATTAGTTAAAACCCAACAATTGCCTCTGAAAACCCATCAATTGCCTCTAAATACACATCAATTGCCTCTGATCCACAGTTTATATATATATATATATATATATATATATATATATATATATATATTATACGAGGTTAGAAATGTAATTTCATTATTCATATTGGTCAATTTATAAGTCAAAGGGCAACAATGTCAATTCATGAGGTTTTAGGGGTTGCAAGTGACTCATGGGGTGTTTTTGTTAACTTTATCAAACTTGAAGGGGTGTCATTGTTCAAAAAAGGTCCAACTTATATATGACTGTCAATATGATAAACCTCACGGGGTGTCGGTGTAATTAACCCAAGACAAACAACGGGATAGAACTGAAACATAAAATTTATTTAACAAATTAATTTTAAAAAGAACAATTATTTATTAATTAAAAAAAAAAAAAAAAACTAACTTATTCAACTACCATTACCAATATACTTAAACCAACATATTTAAAAAAAGAATACTAAAATGTAAACTTAAACCTAAGAATGAATTTAATTAATATATTAAATAAGTTTATTTATTAAATACTAAGCACGTTAATTAAAGTATATTAATTACTTTGTAACAAAAATAATACTATGTATGTATATTAACAAAAGTTTTATATAAAAATATATTGATAACTAATTACTATATAAATTACTCAGCATATTAACTACTAGTAATTGAAAAGTATGCCACTTCAAAATTGATACACAACAATTTATATACTAAAAAATTAACAAGCATATTTTATTAATTGATAACTATACTTTCGTTTATAGATTATTCATTAAATCTGTACTGTATAAATATAAATTTTGTTGCAGGTTGTGAATAATGAATAATTGGATTGCATGACTTTTTATTATAAAATTATGTCATATTATGTATATACTTTTAGGTACAAAATTACAAAACTGATGCTGGATCAATTTATGTAGTTTGAGATATTGAAGAATAACAAACAAAAAACAATAATATTTTATTACTAACTGATATTTTATTACTAAATTGCACATAGTTATATTCTCAAAATTCAAAAATAAAAATATATATAAGTTAATTACGATTAAATAATATTTTTCTTTCAAATCTCGTCAAATAATTTGCAAGGCGTTAAAAACGATATTTGAAATCACAATTATTTTTTAAATCCCATTTATTATCGGATGATTCCAAACAACTTAAATCCTGTTTTCAAATCCATTATTCCAAACACAGCTTAAATCCCAAAAAAAAAAAAGAAAAAAAAATTGGTTCCTTTTTTATAAAGTGCTGTACCACACGCCTCGGCCTGCAATTACCAAAACCAGTGATTTCTCCAGCCATGGCGAGTGACTCAGATACCTCAGGGTCGTCCCACAGGCAAGCCACCGTAACCCTGGACGAACTGGAGATGTCTCCCAGCAAACGCCTCAAAACCCTAAGCTCACCTCCCTCTTCGTTCTCCAAAGGAAAAGACACAGGAATTGATGAATCAACGGTTGATGATTCGGAAACGCACACTTGTGAAATCTGTTTGATGGAGAAAAGAATTGATGAATCAACGGTTGATGTTTCGGAAAGGAACTGCTGTGGAATATGTTTGATGGAAGATGGGAAGGCTATCAGAGGGTGTATCGATAGCTGCGACCACTACTTCTGCTTCGTCTGCATCATGGAATGGTCAAAGGTCGAGTCTCGTTGCCCCCTGTGTAAGCGCAGGTTCACTACTATTCGTCGTCCGCCAAAGGATGGATTGTTTCTCACCGAGCGCCTTGTTAACGTTCCGGTTCGTGATCAGGTCAGGAATTTTTCAATACTACACACACACACACACACAAACAAACACACACACACACACATATATTTGTAGTCTGATTGTGAAGATTTGTAGTGGGTTTGTTTTGGTTTTTGGAATGGACTTGGTTGAAGTTGAGTGTGAGTTTATTTTAGGCTTAAACCAATTTTCATGATTTGAGAATGGACCTTGACTTTTTTGGCAATTTAGTAATCACTTAAAAAATACAAATTAAGAAAAAATATAAAATATAAAATACCCACAGGTTATTCCTCTCTCTCTCAGGCATTAGAGAGAGAGGCTTTAGAGGTTTTTGTGTTCCATAGTAAAAATCTAATCTTTTTTTGATAAGTAAAAATCTAATCTTTTGTTGTAAATATATTGACTCGAAGACATTTTGTTCAACTTACAACCTAGTTTTACCTAGAAATTTGCCAATACAATCCTCAATATTCAAACAAAACAAAGCAAACATATTTTATATTTCTCTCTAAATACTTGATTTGGCTTGATTTGGTTCATTTGAAGTCTATTTGAGTTTGCCTTGGCCATCCTCTACCTTGTTGCACGTTACTTAATTCCGAGCACTCTCTCTCTCTCCTGCTAAAAGTTTCGGATGGAAGAATGAGAGTGGCTTTGTGCAGCATGAAACAAATTATAAGTTGTTAGACATGTTTATAATTTAACTAAGACTTCTTTTAAGTTGGTATTTGCTTGAAAGATAATGTGAGGGAAAACTTTGTTGGTTGCTGTAAAATCATCAAATTCATACAATTTGAGTGCATGTGATTAGGGTGAATCCCAAGCTTTGCTCAGCTTTAAGTTTCTTAGCTCAAACCTTGTAGAAATCTAAGAACTCCATTACAACCCCTTTTGATCTTCGGGTTTAGTTGAAATCAACAAGTATGAGTTACTATCCTTGTTCTTATTGTTGTGTTCTATTATTAATAGGTATGAAACCTAAATTCTACTATATATGTGGAAAATTTTCTCCCCTGGATGATTAACATGTTGCACACTTGTAGAGACAACTCGTGTCTACCCATTTCGGGGCTGGTTGGACACTTTTATATTATTTATTTAAGTTTGCATGTAAAAGCAAGTAGATTATGCCTTCCATTGTCGAATCTATTACCAAGTAAATATTTTATTAATTATTTTCTCTATGATTCTCTTTTAACTCTCAGTCAAGAGCGCATGTGCACAACTGATATGTGCACTTGTAGATATATACGATATTGTGGATTTGTAAGATTACACATATTGGCTTGGCCCAATGTCTAAATCTAAGAGAGTTGCTGTGCCATCTGTGACAATTCGTATTACTTTGGACTGTCAATCTAGTCCTTGTCTGCAAACTGTAGCTTAAACTGGAAGTCTTATTATCTACTGATTGTCACATGTTTTATTTTGACATATCCTTGCCCTTGCAGGTGTGCCATAGGGAAATAGAGACGACTCATCCATATTCGGAAGTACAATGTGGTGTGTGCCATAGTAGGATAGATGAAAGCCGTCTACTACTTTGTGATCTTTGTGACTCTGCCTATCATACTCACTGCGTTGGTCTGGGTGCCACTGGACCTGTAGGTGATTGGTTTTGCCAGGACTGTACCGTTTCTGTGGTTGAATATACCAAAATCGAAATAGATACCGGTTGTGCCAGTCAAACCTGTTGTAACGTTCATGAAGTGCCACCAGCTGGGGCTTCTGTTTCTGTCTTTGATATTGTAGCAGAACCCGGTATCAGAGAGTTTCAGAGACCCCATACAACAGATTCTCTGCATACAAGTTGGTTGTCATCTGGTATTGCTCCTGACAGAGGAATGAGTGTTGCAGATAACGCGTCTCAGGGGGATTCAAGAACTCCTGCTGTTGCATCTAATGCATCTGAGGGGGATTCAAGAACTCCTGCTGTTGCATCTAATGCGTCTGAGGGGGATTCAAGAACTCCTCCTGTTGCATCTAACGTGTCTGAGGAGGATTCAAGAACTCCTGCTGTTGCATCTAACACGACTGCCTTGGGTGTGAGAACGTTGCAGCGTTATCGGAATGTGCATCATAGCATACGAGCATTACGTGAAAATTGGAATGGCTTCCGAAATGGGGCCTTGAGCTTCTGTTACAGTTGTACTAATCATGACAAATTAAGTCAACCTAACTGCAGATCTTACAGGGGTCAGCAATTGACAGCTCATAATGATACTTCCTGTAATATATCGCAGAATAGAGGCTCATACAATATAGAAAAAGCATGGAAAATGATGGATGCTGCAAAGTCAATAGAAAAGGGGCGTGGAAGGGTCAGCTTCATGCATCAGGCTTCAAAACATCATTCAAGCAAAGTAAATGTTCCAAAAGGAAACGTTAACATGAATCCAAGTCTTCTCATGGCGAATGGGAAACAACCTGGGGCTACAAATCTTAAAATCAATGGATATAAAAACCATTACCAGTATAATTCCCTGGAAAAGGCAAACGATTTGCATAAATCTCCGATGTTTGAAAAACAAAAGCAGAGGACTGTTACTAAGGTGACAGATTTAAAATTCGGTGCGGGTTTTCCATCTAATTCACCAGTGTATGAGTTGCCATCTGCTAGGATGGCCCGGACTTCAGCTCAATTTGACATTTGCTATGGAAATGGGGGGAAACAATCACCGGAGTGTTCACTTGGAGCCTCATCAGATGTTCTTAAAGAGCATAATGGATCTGCTGTTGGGTCAGTGCAGATAGCTTCAAATTTTACTTGTGGTATATCGGCTGCCTCTTCCTCCTGCAAGATAGAAACTCCTGAAGGTAAATCTAAGACAGAAGGAAAAAGTGCAAAAAGCCAGGCTAAAAGAGATGACAATGCAAAGAGTGAGATTCAGTCTCTTGTCAAGCTCAATCTAAAGCTTCTGAGTGGAGACAAAAAGTTAGGTATGCACATTTTGTTTGAGCTTTTGTCTTTCATAAATAATCTCTGTGAAGTGATTAACACTACAATTCTTAGGTTATGGGAACATGGTAAAGGAAAGGTTCTAGCTTCCTCATGTTTTATAGGCAATTATGATTTCCCCGAAGTATGTACTTCAATTTTTTTTTTTTTTTGTTTTATTGGTTTGAGTTCAACGACCCAAATCTGCTTCTTTAGGACTTTGTGAACCCAACTTAAGGTCCCTGCAATGCTGAGATAAGTATAGAAATCCAGGATAATGTCCCTGCAATTTACCATTTATCATAAATGATTTATGGATTCTGCATAGTGAGCAAAGGAATTTTTACAGTGCTGGCAAGTAAACTTCATATTCGGTAGCACAAGTAAATAATAGTAAATAAATTTGAATTTTTGGCAGCTGAAAATTATATCCTTGATCATTTTTGTTAAATTAGGGAAAGAAAAACAAAATTTGAATGTTAATATTGTCATAATCCGCATAATGCAACATATGAACACCTGGAAATCATATCCTGGATCTTGTCCACCCCAAGAAAGAAAATATGGTAAAAAATTTAATGTCATGGATAACGTTCTTGTTTTATTTAGATTTGCAGAAACTGTAGGATGGTCCCGTTTGAGATGCCCCTTTAATTATTATGATTGGCTTGAAGCAGTTTTACTTCAATTTATCTTGTGGGAATGCTGAATAAAGAAAATTCATTGATTTTTCTGTGCAGAAGTGAATGCATTCAAGGAAGTCGCGAGGCTTGCCACTCATTCCATCTTGGCCGCATGTGGTTTGGAGCGCCCAAAGCCTGGTGTCCGCTCTTTCCCGAGCTCCGTATGCTGCCATGACAAACAAGATCAGCAGCTTCGAATGTCCACTTTAATGCCTAGTTCTTGCAGAGAATGCTTTTATGTCTTCGTAAAGGATGTTGTCAAAACCATGATGCTTGAGAAAGTGAGTGGCATTCAAATGGCGTAACGCGACCTTTGTGTTTAGGGTTTTTGCTGCAGAGATGCAACGAGGCAATTCATGTATGCAAAATTCCATAAGGTGTTCTGACTTACTTTTTCTTATTGTTCTTGTGCAATTCCTGATCAGTTCAATTTGCATGAAACACACTTTCTTGTAATGATATTACGTGTTATCAACTAATTATATCTTGTTACTTAAATAAAAGTACTCTCACTTTAATGGATCGCTACCGGTTGAGCTACAATTTTTTAGGTGGCCTAGGTCCGAGCTCAGCCGGATTTGACTTGTCAATGGGCCAGGCTTAGAAGACTACCAGCTCTGAGGCTGGATTTGAGCTGCAGGAATTTGCTAATTTTCGGCCATTTTGTGTAGGCTTAATATGGTTTTGGAATAAAGTTATTTTAGTTTAGACAAAGAAAATTTTTTTTTTTTGAATATTGTTGTTATTATATTCAGAAGTATGAAAGAAAAAAATAATAATTTATTACAGCTCTCTTACCGGCATAAAGCCATTCTGGCGCTGCTGTTAGAATAGAAAAAATGTTTAGTAAAAAATATGTTAGGTTTTTTATTATATATTATATAAATACTTTTATAATTAAATTATTTAAAATTTGTTCAGTAACAATATTTTTTAAAACACTTATTGTTAATTTTATAATTGTTAATTTTATAATAATATCTTTTAATATAATGTTACAATATTTGATAATAGCAAATTTGTTAAAGAAGAGCATATGGTTATTTAAAATATACAACATTTATTCATAATACAGTTTAAAAAGTTTTAAATTCTAATTTCATTCAAAAGCACTTTTAATGATTATCAAGTACATTTTATTCATTTTTAAAAAATAAAATTTAAAATAAAATGATGTTCTAGAACATTGAATTTTTTTAATTGAGAAATATAGACTATTATACCACTTGTTTAAAAATTATGCATAAATCTATTTTATCTTATGCTCTGTTAGTTAGGAAAAAAAAAATTGAACAATCACTTCTTCTCTTCCTTCCATCCAAATTTTTTTTTTTGTTTTTGTTTGTTCAATTGGATAAATTAGAATAGAATAAGCTTATAATTTCCTATTAAAAGATAACAAAATGGAAAGTTTTAATTGTTTTTACCATTATATTTAATAATATTTATAATATTGTAATTTATAGAGGATTGTATTGTAATTTAAAAATTTTCTAATTTAGAATAATATTTAATTTAAAACTTTTATAATAGTCCACATATCTTCTCTCCTTTCTTCCATCCAGACGGATAAAAATTTGTAAAAAAGTCATCCTTCATCTTCTACTTTCTTTTCTTTTATCATCTCTACCAAACAAAAAATGTCTGTTCATTCTTTTCTATTTTCTCTCCACACCTATTTATTCCTTCCTATCAAACAAATCTTAACCATTTTTGAAAAATACATGATTGTAATATAACATAGTAAATGACTTTTGTCAAAAAGCTAGAAAAATTCCTTTGCTTTTGCAGTAACAACTTTTGAGAAAGTTAAAAAGGACAGTTTTTTATCAAAGAAATTGAAATTAAGTTTTCTCTCTCATCTTATTTTCAACTCAAAAAGTACCAAAAAAATAATAAATAAATAAAAAGTCACTCTAACCCTCCTTGTAATGCTGTTTGGACTCTTAATGAATGAATTTTCTTTGCCAGAAAAAAAGAAAAGAAAAGAAAAAAAGTAATATACATATATATATACATATATATATATATATATGCGTGTGTGTGTGTAGTTTAATTTTGCAAGTTAAGCTAAATCTCACCAAACATCAGCATCATATATCCCCATTGACCTAACCTACCTTGTTGGATCCAAGGAATTTATCATATGTGATTGATTAACAATTACTTCCAAATCTTTTGTTTATATTTCAAAAGGTGACTTTTAAAGCATTTTTATATGGATTAATTGTTCCTTTCTACTGGAAAAAATAAAAAATAAAATTTCCTTACTTCGTTTGGTTGGATGAATCAATTAGAAAAGAAAAGAAAGAGAAAATTTTTGAAATTTTTTGGAATTTGGATAAAAGGAAAAAGAAAAGAAAGAGAAAATTTGGTTGTCAGCATCGGTCTATTTGTCCCCAAAAATTTTCACAAACAAAATTATTTTCCCGTGAAAGGAGTCCATTTTATTTGTCATTCCTTTTTTTATCCAATTAACTTGTTTATATTTGTTTTTGGATAACTCTTTCTGTAACGACCTGGTCATTTGCCTCTCTTTCCTTTTTCTTGAAATTTTACGAATGAATTTTTTTCGTTTAATTTTCTTTTCTGAGCTCTGTTTCGTGTCGCTTAGTGTCATCTCGAGTGTTTGGAATTGGTTCCTGAGACTCTTTTCCGTGGATTGACAACTTCCTTTGAGGACCGAGTCATTTTCACATTTTTCGTTTTTCGACACTATTCACTTTTCGTCATTTTCCCTATTCTGTCTTATCTCCGTTTGTCAGTTTTTGGCACAACCTCACTTCTCATGCTTGGAGTTGGTTTTTGACTTCACGTACCTTCATTTTGAATGGTTTTTACGAAATACGTATCTTTACTTTTGCAAGAAAGTACTCTGGTTGCTCCCGGTGTCCATATGGGCATGGATGCAAAGTTCTTTGAAATTATTTTCTTTTCTTGGGGTGTTTTTTGTAAATATCTTTTGAAGATATTTTATTTTAGGGGTTTTTAAGAAAATATTTTTAGAAGATAGTTTCATTCTGGGCCATAAGTGCAGTTTTCACTTTTTAGAGGGACCATTGTGCAATTAATGAAAGTTATTGCAAAATGTCTTGTTTTGAGCCTGGATCCTCGTACGGGATTCATTTTCACATTTCGTCGAGTTGTGTACTCTTGGAATTTCTTCCTGGTCGATGTTTTCTAGTTTCAGGGTTTCTGGCCCCAATTTGCGCCAAACTTGTTTTGGACATAACTTTCTGATCAGGACTCAGTTTTCAACGCCGTTTCTTCCGTTGTTCATATTTTATCATTTTGAATCTTTTTCGTTCACAAAGTTTTGTCATTTGAGCCCGTCTGCTCAAATTTTACTTTTTCGGACCCGGCAGGACCCGTTCGGGGCACTTTTTGAGATTTCTATAAAAAGGGGGTGAGATATTTCATTTTTCATCTTCTCCCCTCTTCATGCACAACCTGGAGCTCCCATGGCAGCCCAAGGGGTGCTGCCATCTTCTCTCTCCTCTTTTGGTTCACTTTTCCTTGATGGAAAGTCTTCGGCATTAACGTTTGTTGTTCCCCTCGCCGTGCTCTACCTTTCCCCCTTATTAGAATTCAGTTTTGACCATTTCTTAAGTTTGGTTTTGAGGTCAAGTTATGATTTTGATGGGGCTTTCATGGGGGTTATGTTCACGGCGTTGTCCCCGACAAAACCTCCCGGTATCGTCGAATTCGGAGCACTTTTATTTTGGTAGGCCTTTGGGATTTTCATCTCAAATTGAGGTAGGGGATGTTCTAGGTTTAAATTCTTGTTATATAGCATGCTTGTGATGCTTATACTACTTGTTTGCATGATTAAATATAAAATTTAGAGATTTTATTATTTATTTTTCTTGTACGGGATCTAATTTTCTCGGTTACTCATGACTTAGTTTAAACATGTAGCATGATTTTATATTGCCCCTTGATATGCTCATTATCGTGTATTAAAATTGGAACATTTGAATAAGTATTAAAGATTTTATTTAATATTTATCTTAGGTGAAAGATTAATTCACATGGCCTTAACTAGCTTAAAATCAATATGTGTTAGCATATTAAATTAGGCCTTTGCATGCTCTCCAACATAGTTGAATTTGAAAGTAATTAGAGGTGTTTTGAAAATTAGTAATTATTAATTAATTTGATTAATTAATTTGCCCCGAGTGTACTATTCACTCTATTTAAATTCCGACTTGATATTCTTGATTTACATGCGATATAGTTTCACATATATTTGATTTAGAATATTCGGTTAGGTTTTGAAACCTTTTATTTAATTAAATTTCATGTTTAAGATTTAATCCTCATGGTGATATACAACTTGAAATTGTATTGTTGCATGCTAGAAAATTAAGCTTAGGTATAGTTGTTCACATATATTAAATTGGGATTAATTGCATGAGAATTGCAACCTTTAATTTATATTTAACTTTAGTGAAAATTTAATTTACATAGGTGTAAATTGCATGAAATAAGCTTGTAATGTGATATTAGATTAGTCATTGGCATGTTCTCTAAGATATGTTAAATTGAGAGCATTTGGTTAAGTTTGAAAATCTAGAGATTTTAATTAAAAGCATTAATTAAAATCTATTTTGTGATCCCATTAGCTTAATGAAGATTTTAACTTGATATTTGTATTGACCATGACTTGTTTACTAGTATATATTAATTTGGGACTATTAGAAGTTGTAAATTAGCAGGATTTAATTAAAGTTATACTTTGTTGTTCCAACAACCTAATTGAGTTTTAGAATGGATATAGGTGATGACCATACCATGTCCTTTAACATGTATTAAATTGAGGTTATTTGGAATTGAATTGGAATCTAGAGAATTTAATTGTGTTTATCTATTTAAATTCTTTTAATTTGCTCCATGATCTAGTTGTGTTTTAGAAGTGTTTTCTATATTCAAATCATGGACTTAGACTTGTTGTATATTCATTTGGTTATGTTTTGAACATTGGATAACATAGTTGCTATGTTTGTATTCGTGATAATATGTTTTTCTTATTGAATATATTGTTGCCTTGTGTAATGATTTGCACACTTCGTGTTTAACATCTTTCATGCATAGCGTGTAACGAATCGCACACTGAAGATTCGACATTCATCATATCATATTAGTTGTGGATTTAGAGCATGTATTGTATAGGTTTCCAAATTTGGTTGTGCTTAGTAGATAGTTGATTATCTTGCATATTCTTGTTGATATATGCGTTGTTGCACAACTTGTTGATTTTGGAAACTTGGGGATGTCATTGTTTGACTATGGCTAGGACGTGGTTCTAGTACGGGGGATAGTCCCTCTATATGGTCTAGTGCGCACATAGGGAGGTTACCCATGGGCTAGTAACCCTAAAGTAACTATGTTGTCGGTCTGATCCGGCGTGACGTCCGAGTATCCACTTTGTTTGATTTCGCATTTCATTTTTAAGTTGATAACTAGATGATATTATAACTTGTTATTTCTTATTTGTCGTTCCATTTTAAGTTACAGG